TTCTTTGTTTTCAAGTGTTTGGGCAGGAGATGTTCTGCCATTTGGCTCGGAGGCAATGCAGTCTCCTTAGACGTGGTAGGATCAGGCAGGTTTGGCGGATTGGTATTCATAGAATGTTGTCCCACAACATTCAGAGATCTGACGTCAGGTGGTAGTCCCACGCGAAGAAGGTCAAGGTCAGTAGCCGAATCTCGGCCAAGCCTTTATCCGTTGACACGGTAAAGTCCAGGGTGCGTCGTTTTCCAAAGTCTTGGACATCAATGGCAGCGATATATACCCGCAATGTTCAAGGGATGCATTCTACCATAGGAGTATATACATATCGATGTGGGCTTGGGCTTAGAGCTTGGTTGCTTGATTTGGTTGTAGACATTCATCGGAAGAATGTTGACACTGGCGCCTGAATCGACCAGCAACCGGGTGGGTACTCCGTTCAAGGGAATTGCAACTCGTGCTTTATTTCCTGCTGACACGAGTTGTTTAATGCAGAAAAGTTCTTCGTCACTGCTGTATGCTTGGGCTTGCAAGACGGCCGTAACAGTATGAGGCGTTGTCTCTTCAAGTTCGTTAACTTTGCCGGTTCGTTGCCTTTGCACGCCTTGGCAAAATGGTTCTTTTTGCCACAACGACTGCACGTTTTGACGCGAGCTTTCTCGCACGTACGATGACCGAGTTCGCCACAACGATAACAAGAGACCGTCTCGGCCGTTGTGAGCGTCTGAGGTTAGAAAGTTCCGGTAGAAGGTAGGAACGTCAGAGAGTAGAACGTTGCGGTGAGGGATCAACCTCGTAGTTGTTGTTTTCAATGGCCGCTGCCTGTCTATTGGCCGTTTCGAGTGATCGCGCTGTTTGTAACGTGTCTTGAAGCGAAATGTTAGCAACTTGGAGGAGCTTCAACCTTAATTTACTTGACTGGCAACAGGCCACGATTTGGTCTCGTATTAAACTGTCTATTTGGTCGCCGAATTCGCAAGTACTGGCCTTCATTCGTAGTCGTGTATGCCAGGACTCGAAGACCACGTTGTTACGAGACGAGAAATACTCGTTGAATGGGCACTGCCGTCAACTAGACGGGCACTGCCGTCAACGTCATATGTAATGATCTTTACAGTACAAACATTTAATCCCATTAAATTATTATTATTATTATTATTATTATTATTATTATTATTCACTGCACGAAAAATTGGATTTACCACTATAGAAAACACAGAGTAAATTTGAGATAATGCCGCATTTGCTCATATTTACGAGCAAATGCGGCATTATCTCAAGTTTACTCTGTGTTTCCTATAGTGGTAAATCCAATTTTTCGTCCAGTGATTATTATTATTATTATTATTATTATTATTATTATTATCATTCAATATCAAACTGTTCTCCGTTAAGCCCTAAAAACATCCCCAAACGAAGCAATTAACGATCTTTGGAAAGCAACTAGCAACAGCAAAAATATTCAGTATGACGTTTATAACTCCACTTTAGAAGCAAGTTCTTAAGGACTTTCGCTCTGGACAAGAGGATAAACTGCATACTCTATTAACCTGTCAAGGCTCTTTCTTCACTAATATAACAAAGTTCTCACTGTCCCAACTCACTAAAATTTGGTCTGCGTGCCAATCGAACCTTCCGAAAAATATATTCAACTTTACAGTTCGATACATCAATAACTCCCTTCCAACGCGCCAAAACCTTGCAAGATGGGGTTTTTCACCGACTTCAGACTGTTCGCGATGTCTAGCTCCT